AAAAAAAAAAAAAAATACCTTTGAATTGGATACTCCTTTCCCGGTGCCTAAGAATTGTCCCGCCATTTTTCCAGATTTGTTTCGAATTTTTTTTCAAATTTTTAGTGTTTTTTTTTTCAAGAATTTTTTTTTAGCCAATGAAATTTTTTTCTTATGTTATTTTAAAAGTGTTTTATGTTATTTTCGATTTTTTTTCAATTTTTTTAATTAAAAAATTAATTAAAAATTGAATTTTTTATTATTATTTTTTAGTAAGGGTAAAATAGTCATTTGAGGGTGCGGTATTAATCGAAATAGGGTGCGGTGTATATCAACACCCTTTAACTAATTACTTATTACTTATTTTATTTAATGCATTCTATTACTTACTACTTAAATTGATTAGTCAACAAAAAAAAACTTCTTCCAAAATTAAATCAGATTTCACGCCTAAATTGAAGTGTTTGTTGTATGAAAAATCTTTTTTTAATGCAATTGTAATTATAATGCGATATATAATGAGATATAAATCTGATCATATTTGTTCCTACATATAATGATCTGATATGATTTCCTTCACATTATCTCTACATATAATGCGATAATGCAATTATAAATTATAAATCTCCAAATATTGAATTAGTGTGTTCCTCACTTTCAACCACCTGCGAAAAAAAATCCCTAATTAGTGTGTCATTCATAACAATGAATCAAGAATTTGGCTTAATCATACAAGTTAATAGGTTTAATAGACGTAATGTTAAAGTTCAAATTGTAAGAATGTTTTTCCAAGACTGGGCAGCACATACAAATCCTATCTTGAGTTGGTTCTATATGATAAAACTGTAAGTTAAATTATTTTTACTTTTTTTTTTTCCGAAATATCAAACATATATTTTCGTGTATATATAATATATATTTTTTATGTGTTTAAAACACATTATTTTTTCATTGATTGCTTTTTCGTATATGTTTAGGGTAATCGCATTACGACATGACTACGGGCAATCAACTTGGTTGCGTTTAGAGAGATGAATTTTGAGGAGGACATGATCATTTGTATAAAAAATTATCAAGTGGATAGCAATATAGGGAAGTATCATTCGACATCCGGTGATTTTAAGATCATGCTGCACGGGAGCACTATGTTTACAAAGTGCAAGGAAGAATTTCCTGTATTTCGATTTCAATTTAAAGACTTTACAACTCTACAATATGTCAACAAAATCGATGAATCGATGCTATTCAGTAAGATTATTTCATTTTGTTTCTAATTTTATTTGTTTATTTCAAAGTAATTAAATTATAACATATTCGTTTTTGTTTTATTGTAGATTATATAAGATGGGTTGTTGACATTCAAAGTGTGCAAGAGAAACAAATAAAAACTAACGATATCCAAATGGTTGCATTCATTCTTATGGATCTAAAGTAATTTTTTTTTTACTGTAGTTTTTTCTGCAATATAATCAATTATAATCATATAATTTTATTATATGCGTTACATATCTAACAATTTTGAAATTTAATGTAGTGAAAATTTCGTAAATTGCACGGTTTGGGGTGAATATGTATAGACAAACTTTTGGCTTTCAAGAGCCACTATGGAGAAACTGGTCAACCATTGGTACTAATCAATAATCATGCAACTTGTACGTTTCAGAGAATACCTATCATTTAATATTACTTTCCATTTATTTCAATTATTTAATTTAAATGTTCAACCCATGAAGTATTTTTACTAATCTCATTCTAACCATGTTGTTTTATTTTTCTAATAATTTCTACACTCTTTCCTAATCAATTATTTATTCTTAACATGAAAATGTTTAATACGTTTGTAGAAAAGGTACAGGTTACCACTTCATTAACTGTCTTTATTATATGTTGTTGTTTTGCGTGTAACTAATAGAAGGGGTTGAAGATATTAGTTTGTGAGAATAAAAAATTGACCAATAATCAAACTCATAATGTTGTGGACAAGGAGTCTTTAATAATATATGATTGTATCTTTGTCGAATACTATCTTATTGTACAATTTCCTTACGTATTATAAATCTCTTTATTTAATATTGCATCATATAATATAATCTCCAAATAAATATATCCCGTGCATCGCAACGAGCACGTACTATATGTCCCGTATATTTTTCTTTATTCATGTATATAATAATAATCCTCCCTAAATAGCCTTAAAATTGTGCACAGCGTGCATCGCACGGACTCTGCACTAGTTCATAATTATACTCAATTCTCCACTCAATAGCTTTATTTAAAATTATTTTACTTTTACCAAAATCGACTTTATTAAAAAAAATTATACGGTCTCGTTATGGAACAATTACGTTTGGTTTGTAACTATTAGATCTAACACATACAAATCCTGACGAAATGGTTTGGTACCGTGCCGTACCATCTCCCTAAAAAAATATAAGAGAATATGTTTTGGCGAACAAAAGAAGCAAGTGAAACTCCACTTGCATCTTTGTATCATGGTAGCCTCTATTTCTCCTTTCCGTTTATCCGCAGCTGTTCTCAACCGCCAAAGTCTGCCGCCTTTCTGTGGGAAATGTTATCCACAGAATTGCCGGTCAATTTACCGGAGGAGGGGACGAGCGATTGCTGCTGACAATTCTAAAAAAGAAGACGATGATGTTAGTGGTGGAGACCCTTCGGTTCCTTCATGGGCTAAGCCCGGTTCAGACGAGCTTCCACCTTGGGCCCGTCAACAATCCCAGGGAAGCTCCTCCAGCTTTGAAACCCCCTTCTATGTTTACTTGCTTGCATCTGCTGTCACTGCAATTGCGGCGGTATTTATATACTTTTAGCCCACAATTATATTTCTTTTTTTCCTTAATATTTGTTCCTCAAAGTCGTTTTTGGTGGGGTAAAGGAATCAATTGGACTGTGCTTATGATGCTGTTATCATCATTGGGTAATTATCTGAAGTTATTGCCTGTTTGTTGTTTGAAGTTTTGGACTAGTTTGATGACCATTCATTGAATAAGTATTTAAGGTTTTGGAATTGTTTTGGCAGGTTGGTTCAATTTTCGAGTATGCAAATCGAAACCCTGTTTTCGGCGTCTTGAACTCGGACAGTGTGTTTTATGCTCCGCTGCTTGGTTTCTTTGTGTTCACCGGTGTCCCATCCTCTGTAAGTTGCTTTCTTGTGAATGCTGCAAATTGGGTTGCTCATGTGTGTAATAATACACTGGTTAGGAACTCGGGGGAAATTACGCAACCTTTTCGGGTTAAGTGTGATTGGGAATAGCTTTTGTGAAATGTGTACTAGTTTCGAAGTGTGTTAGACAAAATGAGAAATTTAAAGGCTTGGAACCTCAATCTGTATAAATACCTTTCCGAAACTTAATCATCCCACATAGTTTCCGAAGAGATTGACAGGCTCTAGGCTCATTATCCTGCTTTATCATGTGTAGTTTCATTTAACAGTTTGAGAAGCACATGTTGTGATAATCGGTTTTTCCACTTCTTATTTTCTGATAAAGTAAGAGGTTACCTTATGAAAAAGAAAAAGAAAAAGAGAAAATAATCCCTCACTGTTGAAAACATGCTTGTGAACACATTGTGCTTGGTTGCTTCTGGACCTCGAGGATGAAAGGATTTATTACATGAGAACATGAAGAGAAAAGGCGTTGAAAATAGCTTTTCCATGTTTACGGTTCTTATTAGGATTGTAGCCATCCTGGTTTATAGGCTTCACTGCTTTAAATACATATTCTTTTCATTTTTCTGTCAATATACATTTTACTATCTGATATTTTGGTACCATAACTTATTTATGTTAGCATAAATTTTACGATTTGATAATTTCAGCCCATAACTGATTCATGTAGCTGAATTTGAAACTGTTGCACCTAAAACTAAGCTCGCCAAAATATGCCTAGGTCCTGACGTAGAAAGTAAGTAATCAGTGACGACCATATTAAGCTTCGCTTGCGTTCGCCTACAACTGTTTCTTACTTGGCAAACTAAACAGTAATTTGTTTGGATCTGAAGTTGACGGGTATCCACAGGTCTTGCCACTTTTTCTCAAAGCATACCACATGCCTGCAAGGGGTTAACAGCTGTTATCTTCAAAAAACCTCAACCCTCCTTCTGGTTAAAGACATTATGTATTCTGGGAACTAAAGAAAATAAAAAAAGAAATCTTGGATCAAATTGCATACATTAGAACTTTGAGTCTCGAGTCTTCAAAAATCAACCCGTGCAGGGATATTGTTGATAGCAAAAATAACTCTTATGGCCTATGGGATTGACAATGCAGCTTCTGTGAAGGAACTTATTGAAGTGCTATGGTTTAACTCTTTTACTTTTATTCATATCCAGGCGTTTCTCTGGTTCAAATCTGTTCAAGCTGCAAATAAAGAGGCCGAGGAACAAGATCGACAGGATGGATATCTCTAGAGTTCTTTGGTCATGGTTGCGTTGTGTCTTCCACGTATAAATTACTGCTCGAGTTGATATTATAAAGATGAGTTTACATTCTGAAGATGAGTTGAGCCCGATTACTTTTACTAGTTGTATCTTTTGTCGTTTCTGTGATAAGATTCTTTACAGTAAAAATAGCCGACTTAGCATTTGAATATACTATGATGTTGGGTGTGCCCCCCCTTCCGTGTATTGAAGTATTATAACATCAATCCAATGACTCCTCAGAGTTCGGAGAGTTGAGAAAATGAAGGACTTGACTAACTGAAATACAGAGTTGATTCAATTTGCTGGCTAATCTGATCTTAGAGATTAGGATTCTTAGAATATGAATCGGCTTACGAAAAAATAATCAGTCCTGGAGATTGTGTAGTGACACTCCATTGGCCTATTATACACTTGTTAATCACATTAATTATTGAAACATAATCAGTCCTGGAGAATGCAATTTTCGTATTGATTGCTCTTCAGTCATTCTCATACCACTTTGTTCTTCAACTCCAAGAAGATAGATTCTGTCTTCATGATCAATCATGTGCTACAATGTTGAGAGTTAGGAGCAGGGGAAAAAACATGAAAATAAAAATTATGTCATTTTAAATAAGACTAACAATATAGTTTTCAAAAAAGTATTTAAAGTGTGAAACAAAATAAATTTATTTGTTTTGTTGAAATTTAATACGGCGTGTGTTTTGGGTTCAATAGGATATCATTTTGATTTTAGAAAAGAAAAATGTTGGGTTTCCAAAGAGTTTGTGAAGAATTATTAATAATGTTGATATAGAGAAAAAAAATAGAGTGATTGATAAATATAAGTATTCCAATCGACTTAGAGGATATTCAAATCAGTACAGATGAATGCAGCCATAACTTATTTCGGAAATTATTGGCCAGAAAAAGGTTCTTCTAATCGTGCTAAACAGGGTTTTATCCCATATGTGGCAAATTAGGGTTTCAGTATCCATCAGAGAGCTAAGCCAAAATATCTTCAATTTATCTTTGCTAATCTAGCTGACAAGAAAAAAGTGGCTAAAAAGGAAGCAACTGGACATTTGACAACCAATTTCTCAGACTGGAAAGAGGATATAGATGCAAATCACTCAGACTTCAGTGATCTTGGTATTTAGGTGCAGGCCTAGAACATCCCCATCAACTGAATTTCAACAGAGGTGAGCCTCAAAATTAGAGAAAACATTCAAGAGAATCAAGGATGTTTCAGTTCCTCAATCAAGTATTCTACTTGACAAATGCATCAAGCTATTAGTGAGTATAGATTTGAAGCAAGCCATTCTATGGTATGCTTGTCGTTAGCTTGGGAAAAAAATATAATAGCTGAATTAAAATATGAGACTTGTTAGCCGTCGCTATTATGGGATCTTTGGACATCATGATAGAATCTTTGAAAGGAGATTTCAAGATATCAGTGCAGGAAGGCTCCCAAAGGGCTCATTTGGGGAATGGCTCAGAGCATCATATTCATCTTCCCTAGTCAACCTTAACAACTCAAGCTCAAATTCACTCATTTTTATACCAACACTAGAGCATTAACCCCAAACCTCTACTCAAACTAACCCTTTAGCTTCTACCTCTCCAGAAAACCTTCCCCCATTATGGGAGCTTCCTCTTCTCATCTTGAAGCCAACTTCGAACCATGTTCATTAATTGGGCCCCCTAAACCTTCTGAAGCCAATCAAATACCCTCACTCACCAACTATCTCCCTCCAAAACCATAAGTCCATTAAGCCTCCCACACAAGATCCTAGATATTGTTGTTTCTATTGGTTTGGAAATGAGCCTAGTTATCTTCTCCCCAAAGATCCTCCATCTAGAAGGGGAAACCAATACCTCTCGAAGAGCAACATCTTAATAAGACTAAAACGTGGAAAAGGAAGAAAGAGCCCAGAAAGTCCTTTAAAAGAATCACAAGGAATAAGAAGCATGCTAATATTCAGAAAGATAAGGAGACAACTCATCTTTTGGTTATTTCAGAGGATTATCACCTGAATAAAGGTAAAGAACTTGGAATTCAGGGGTGAAGCTGGCCAGCGTAGGAAGGTTACACAGTGATTAATGAGAGCAATCTTGTGGAACTGTAGAGGATCGGGTGAGCCCTCTATAGTTTCCCAACTTAAGGAGTCTTTGAGACTCCACCACCCCCCTTTTACCTTCTTATGAGAAACCAAAAAAATAAAAATAAAAAAATAAAAAGATTGTTGTGTAAATAGTGTGTGTAGAAACCTTGGTGTTGGAGAAAGGTGGCCTTCAGGGAACCTGAGGGTAAGAATGGTGGCCTCATACTCATTAAGAATGATTCAGTGCACATCTTCAAGGTGATCAAGTCCTCTTTTTGTATTCAAGTAGAATTCAGGGAAGACACTAAGGCTAAATCATGCTAGGGATTTTTCTGTATGCCAGAATAGAAAATAATAAAAGACTGCAACAATGGTTATTCTTACTCAAAGTGACGTTTTTTTGGTGTGACTATTGGTTCATTGGTGGTGATTGAAATAACATCACCACCCTAAAGGACAAGAAAAGTAGAAGATCCATGCATCTATCCTCTTTTAGGGCCTTTAATGACTTCATAGTACTTATGGGTATGCTTGATATAAGGCTACTGGGTCACGAATTCACAAGCAAGGTGAAGGCTTTGTAGAGGAGCAGCTTGACAGGGTTTTTGTCTCCTCAGGTTCAAATTCTCTTTATCCTATCTCTTAAGTCTCCAACATCTTCAGGAGCTCCTCGGATCACAACCTTATGCTCTTCAAATCTAGCCATGAAATCAAAACCTACAAGAAAAGATTCTCATTTGAAAGGAGATGGTTGCAGAAAGAGGGAAATTAAGATGTAGTGAAACATTTTTTTGGGATCTTTGCCTTGCAAAAAAAAAAAAAAAAAAAAAAAAAAACTTGGAGTTTGGATCAAAGTGGTATCTTATGTATTACTTTCAAGCCAAGTCTAAAGAGACAAGATTAAATCTCCTGAAGTGAAGTTCTTGTCCCATTTTTGTTGCATTTTTCGTTGTCATTTTGCCTTTCTTTTCCCCATATATTAGGTCTTTTAGTTGGTTTTTAGTTCGTTTTGTAGTTTATTGCGTGTTTTCATCTATTGGGAGTCATTTCAGTGTTTTTCGTTTGGTTTTCTGTTTTCTCCATTTTTCTTGTCGTTTTGGTGTCAGGTCGTGAATCTCTGGAGGATTGGATGTCAAAAAAATATTAGTCAGGAAAGACGTAATTAAATGGAGGAGTTCGTTGGCAACACACAGGAAAAACTGGAGTCAAATTCCGAGTCTAAATGAACCCAAACGAGCCCGAGAAGTGAAGACGTGCACATAAGCCAACAACTCGCCCAGGCCTTGCGTGCGTGCCGCGCCGCGAGGCATGCCACGACCTCGACATAGGATCCTAGCATTCAGCCTATCGCGCCACGTCCACTGCCGCGCCGTGAAGCTTTAGCCTGCCATGCCGCGCCGTGAACCTTCAACCTGTCGTGCCCACGAGACCACTGCCTTGCCATGAAGCTTCAGCTTGCCGTACCCGCGCCAAGCTGCAGCGCCACACCAGATGTCCTTCTATATATATTGCAATCGGAACTTTGAGGGGATCTCTTTATCATGTTCTTACGCCCAGAAACATAAAACCCTACCTTTCTCTCGTTAAAAACTCTTGTTTTTACTTTCTTCTTTCATCGTTTTCAACGTAGATCAAGGATTTAAGATCGGATTTAATTATTGCTTTCGGATTCAAGCTTGTTTATCGAATTCAACCTTGGGATTTATCAATCGTAATTTTTTTTTTTACTTAATCGTTAAATATGAGTTCTTGGGTTGTGATTGCTTGTGTTGATTATTCAGTTATGAGTAGCTAAATACTTATGCTAGGGATAGGGGATTAATGTTTTGATTTCAATTGTGAATGTGGTGTTCGTTGATTGTTCCTCTTATGCGAGTTGATCTTTTTAAGGGTTTTTCAATTATCGTATTTGAATATTGAGGATTATTGAAGGATGACACTTCAATTTCCAATTTTCTTCAATTGAGTTCGATTTATTCTTGTATGATGTTGGTTGCTAATTGATTAGTCGGTTAATCACCCTCTAGTCTAGCTTAATCGACTCTTAGAACCGAAAGGGGAGGAATCGGTCGAATTAGGCTCGCATAAGCTAGGCTTGTTCGTAACTATATTGCTCCTAGGTGGTAAATGATTTGTTAATTTTTCGTTCAAGTTTATTCTCATGCTACAAAGAGTTATTGAGAATGAGTACTTGAACGAGCAGGTTATTCAAATCACTTAACTGAACAATCACTTGCCCATTAATTGCAATTCGAAGCAAAACGGATATCCCCGACTCCATAGCTTCTTAAATCATGTTTGTTCGTTGTTGTTGCTTGATATTTCTATTGCTTTATTTGAATTCTCGTAGTAGGTGATAATTAAAACCAAAACCAATCTCTGAATTAGTATGTTTAGGAAATTTATTTATTTTTGTGTAGTTGAGTAAACATACAAAATAATCCGGCTAACCTTCCTCGAGAGACACGACCCGATGTTCGAATCTTTAGATTCTACTCCAGTAAAAATATTTACAACATGGAGCAGTTTCTTTAAGACTACAAAGGCAATTGAAGTGATCCATAGGAAGCTAGATGAGTTTAGATAGAAGCGTGGTCTAAGAGATTGGGCTCTTGGGGATAAGCTGTAAAAGTATCTCAATACTGTCTACAAGTATGAAAGCAATACTGGCACCAAAAGCCAGAATAATTGGCTAAAGCATGAGGACATGAACACCAAGTTCTTCTATGCCCAAACAACTCACAGAAGGAAGCTAAACCACGTCTCTAGGCTGGTTAGAGAGTATCAAACAATTTGTTAATCAAGAGATGAAAAACTGCCCTATAGATGAAGATGTTCTTGAGGGGATTCTTCCTGTCATCACTGGTGAGATGAACACTGAGTTGCTTACTTTGGTAGATGAAG